GAGAAATAGCTAATGAAAAAGATAAAAAAGGAAAATTTATTTTTTCTTTTTTAAGAGATATTTTTTGAAATGCATACACCTTCACTTTAACAATTATCTATCTCCAGTTAAAATAACATTTCTTCTGGCACTACTGTCCTTTTGGAAATCTAGATCTAGGTTGCTCAGATGACTAGATAGAAGAGAATCAGAGACATTATTTTGTACTTGCTTCATGTAGTATTACATGTGGTAAATGTGTATACTGCTTAAAAAGGAAATTTGGATTTTGAGAAACAGTTGGGTGATGATGAGTTGGGAAAGATCCTGGCAGAAAGGAGCCCAGAGGAAGAATTGAAGAGAGAGCGTGACGTAATCAATGAAGCATGTTCCAGATTAATAACGTAATCAATGAAGCATGTTCTGGAACATTGGATGTTCCAGAACATCCAATGAAGCATGTTCCACAGCCACCTGTGCTGATTTAATGGGGATGCTTGATAAATACGCATATTACTGGGCTTACTCACACACCCTGGATCAACATCTTTAGGGTTGTGCAGGAGTATCTGAATTTTTAACTGTCATGTTTCATGATTCTGAGGCACATGAAAAATTGAGATTGATAATGAAGTATATAGTTTTGATTTTCTACGAGTATAACAGAGCTGGTTTAAAAGCATCAGAGAACTCATCTTCAGCACTTCCTTCATCTCTTCTTGCTTTTTAAATCAACATGTCTGCTTCATGGTTCTCTGCAGTTTGGCTTTGTCTACTTTGGGATCTGCCAGGAGGAAAATGGTCACATCACAAAGTCTGCATTTTTATGTCTATGCTCAAAAAACCAGCCAAGTCTGAGTCTATATTTCTCACTTCATTCCAGATTCCTAGATAAGGAATTCTCATTGGATCAGTTTAAAATAAGTACTTGTGCCTTGTCCAGTAAGTTATTGCCAGCAAGATAGAGCCATGAGGTAGTATGCGATGTGGTTCTACCTCAACTTCTTATGAATTCATTTAAAAAATATTGAGCATATACTATTTAGCAGATACAGGTCACTAGATCAGAAATAAAATAGCGAGCAATAGCAATTATGAGGGAGGAGGAATGTTTTCAGATATGAGCAGATCACGGTAGGGTTGGCAGGTAATTTAAAGCGTGTCACCTAAAAGTCGCAAAACAGTAGCAAGAATCTAAGTATTCAGTGAAGAGGCTCAAAGGGTGAAATATATCTGCTTCATGGTTCTCTGCAGTTTGGCTGTGAAATGAGAGTAAAAAGAAGTCTTAGAAGAATACATAGAATGAAGAAAATCTATTTAAGGTATATTTTTATGCTGAACACACACAAATTACAAAATATAAAGTCTATAATATGATGTTATGTAAAAATAAAAAAAACTAAAAAGCATAGGAAGATATAGCAGAGTTGCATAGTAAATGTCACTGGATTTCAAGTGGTTTTCCTTTTTCACTGCAAACATTCTAATTTTTCTGAACTTATACAATAAATACATATTACTTTTTATAATTGGCAGAAAATAAAAGGGAAAGAACTTACATTTATGATGCAGCAAGTTAGATGGGCAACTGCTTTTATTTCTGACAACAATGAAGAGGCAGATCTGCTTTCAGCCCCTCTGGAGCCACAGGTCATTGGCATACGGAAAATGTCTCCTCCTGAAAGTAACTGTGAGCTCCAAAACTAACTTGAATTTTCTGCAAGGCACAGGCTCACCTTTGGGGATGCCAAGGAAAAGACAGTCTTCAGGATTCCATCCTCAAGATGTTGGGAACCTTCTGTATGCTTCTTCCTAAGTCCTCAGAGTACATGGGTTGACGACAATAAGAAACTTATCTTAAGTGATCACACAAAATTATCAACTAGAATACAGTAATAGTTGGTGTTTTTTTGGCCTTTTGTCACCTACATATTCTTTTTATTTGGAGAAAATAGTAAGATAAGTAGGAGGTATTATTTCACCTCCCGTAACAAAAGCAAAATGGAATAAATACATTCTCTCCCACTCCAGAGTAGCTTTAATGTGAACTTGAGGCCTTGGTATAGACAGTTGGATCTTCCTAGGCAAGATTTTGCCTTCTGAGATAATTGTACAAAGGTTCAAGGACAAGTAGGATTTCTCAGCTGCTGAATTGGCTGTTTCTAGGTGTATGTGGCATTTGCAGTGTCTGATGGCAACTGCGTAAGCTGTGCCACCTGCATTGTTTTGTAGCCGGGCCTTGGACTTGCCTCCCTTCTCTTGATCTGTTCGGTTTGCCAGCCTTGGAGAGGATTCTTTAAGGTAGTCATTGTATTCTAAGAAGCATTCCTGATACCTGAGAACATTAGTATTGTATTGCATTACATATTAAATTCAGTGCAATGACTGTCATATTTTCCTTTCCCGTGTTTATACCTAAGTTTCAGTAAAGTCTTCCTGACAGTTTTCCTATAGCCTTGTAGTCTTAGTGAGAGCAAAAAGAGCTATTTTAAATTTTCTTCTTGAAAATAATATTTTCAGTATAACAGAAATTTTATTTTAAAAAGGGTAACTTAGTTATAAAATACATGGAGTAAAAAATGCATGATGTTTATGGAGAAAAATATGAAGAATTAAAGGACATAAAAGGAGCTCTAGTTAAATAGACAAAAATTCGATGAATAAGAAAATACTGTGATATGTCAATTATCTATTAGCTAAGCATAATCCACATCAAAATTATAAAAAGATTCTGTAATGAAACTTGATCAATTGCTTCTAATATTACACAGAGGAATAATTTCTGTATGTATGCAAAGAAATTATGAAATGGAAAAAGGAGGACATAAATTATGCAATAAGAAATACTAATACTTGTTAAAAAAATAAGTAACAATACCATAGTAATTTAAATAATAGTATTAGTCAAAGAAACCGAATACAGAACCTATGTGTACCTACCTATATACATAACAGAAACTCTACTAGTGGTAACGTTTTATGTCTTTATAATGATAAACTAGTTATAAATTGTGTTGAAATATTTGATAAAGAAAAGATACATGGAAAAATATAATATTCTTATCTCTTACCATACTCTGAATAAGAGTACTGGTAAATTAAATATTTAAAACAGAAAAACAAAATTCTAAAACTTTTTAAAAGTACGGAGAATAAGATACCAAAAACATCAGAAATTTATCAAGAAATAATTTTAGCTATGTCAAAGTTGAGAAAAGTAACTTCTATGTTACAAGAGATACTCTGCAATTAAAGATAAGAGATAAGGGGTGGTCCCTGTGGCACAGTGGGCAGGGCACCTGCCCCATATACCGAGGATGGCGGATTCGAATCTGGCCCCAGCCAAACTGCAACAACAACAACAAAAAAATAGCTGGGCGTTGTGGCAAGTGCCTGTAGTCCCAGCTACTCGGGAGGCTGAGGCAAGAGAATCGCCTAAGCCCAGGAGTTGTAGGTTGTTGTGAGCCGTGACGCCACGGTACTCTACTGAGGGTGACAAAGTGAGACTCTGTCTCTAAAAAAAAAGAATATATTCACAGTACATACAGAGAAGATTAACATCTAGAACTTATAAATATCTTCTGCGAATACATTTTAAAATAGAAAAATGAACAATAATAGCAACAGGCAATTCCCCCAAATCAAAATTGCCAGCAAACATAACACGAGGTTTCAAATTTAGAAAAATGCATGGAGATCCCATTCTACTCTCATCAGATTACAATAAAAATGAATGACTATGCCAAGTGTGGGTGATGATGTGGGGAAATGGGAACTTGTGTACCTAACTATTGGGAGTATTGATTAGTACAACTAATTTTGAGATCAAGTTGTCAGTATCTAACAAGTTGAAGATGTGTTATCCTATACTCTAGAAAACTAATCTCTAGAACAGTGTTTCTTTTTTTAACATTTTCTGAACACAACCCACAGTAAAAAATGTATCTTATATTGGCATTTAGCCTGTAGATTTGTATTTGTGTGTATATGTGTTTTCATATACACACAAAGTTTCATAAGACAGTAAGTACCTTTATTTCTGTGTGATGTACTTTGATATTCTCATTTATTTAATATTACAAAAGTCTGTAATCACTACGTGTAGAGTTAGTTTCACAATGTACAACTGAAAAATGCAAAAATGTGGCTCTAGACATAAAAATGTATAAAATGTGCTCTTAAAAATGGTTGCATCTTATTCCTGTGTTAACATTACCTTACACTGCAAAAGGAACTTTGCAGAAGGGATTAGGTTTAAGTACCTTGAGGTAGTGTTGCCTGGATTACCCAGGTGTGCCTAGTATAATCATTAAATATGGAGAATTTTTCTGAGCTGCAGAGAATCAGAGAGATGGCAGCTTGAGTATGACTTTACTGTTCTTGGCTGGCTTTGAAACTGGAGAAAGGAGGACATGGGCCTGGGAATGGCAGAGGCCTCTAGAAGCTGGAAAAGGCCAGGGAACAGTTTCACTAGAGCCTCCAGAAGCAACAAACCTGTGGATACCTTGATTTAGCTCAGAGAGACCCATTCTGGACTTCTGACTGCTAGAAATATAATGTAATAAATGTGTTGTTTTAAGCCACTAAATCTGCAATAATTTGTTACAGAAGAAATAAGAAGTTAATACAACCTGCCAAATGAGATGCTGTGAAACAAATAGAGTATATAGGTAGATATAATGCTGCAATAATCAAACATGTTCGCGGGTATTATAGCTTTATTTTAATAGCTACCTAAATATGAATCATAATGGGAAGAATAGATGAATAATGTATATTTACATCGATATGCTACTTAGTACTTAAAATAAGCCAGAGATACAGGTATCCACATATTTCATTCCTCAAATCATCATGTTGAATGATCAAAACAACTTAATACAATAGTAAATTAATTTTCATACCATTTATGAAATTTGTTTATTAAATCCGGAGACACAATACATATATTGTACATGGTGCTTACATTTAGTAAAAATAGGGTTGCTGGCCAGATGCGGAGGGAAAGAGCTATAAGTAGCCTCTGAGAGGCGGCGGAGCCTGCGACCACTGAGCCACCCCAGCCGCCGCCGTCGTCCCACCCCCATGGCGGCCACCAAGGACACTCATGAGGACCACGATACCTCCACTGAGAACGCAGATGAGTCCAACCATGTCCCATAGTTTGAGCCAATAGTTTCTCTTCCTGAGCAAGAAATTAAAACGCTGGAGGAAGATGAAGAGGAGCTTTTTAAAATGCGTGCAAAGCTATTCCGATTTGCTTCTGAGAACGATCTTCCAGAATGGAAGGAACGAGGCACTGGTGACGTCAAGTTCCTTAAGCACAAGGAGAAAGGGACCATCCGCTTCCTCATGAGGAGTGACAAGACCCTGAAGATCTGCGCCAACCACTACATCACACCGATGGTGGAGCTGAAGCCTAATGACTCAGTGACCGTGCCTGGGTCTGGAACACCCACTCCGACTTCGCTGACGAGTGTCCCAAGCCGGAGCTGTTGGCCATCTGCTTCCTAAATGCTGAAAATGCACAGACAAAACAAAGTTTGAAGAATGCAGGAAAGAGATCAAAAAGAGAGGAAAGAAAGCAGGATCAGGCAAAAACGATAATGCCGAAAAAGTAGCTGAAAAGCTGGAAGCTCTTTCAGTGAAGGAGACCAAGGAGGAAGCTGAGGAGAAGCGATAAACCGTCTTATTTCCATTTCCTTTCTTTTTTCTTTTTAAAATTTTGCTCTGCCCCTCCTTTTCGGTATTTTTCTTATGTTTTGTTTTTGCAAGGGACATTATATAAAGAACTGAATTCCAACATTAAGGTTGGAGTTTTTTTCTAAGTTTTTGTCCTGTTGAAGACAACTTCAGAAAATCCATTCCCCAGTCATGAAAATGTACTGTGCTAACTTTCTTTTCCATAGTGGAAACAATTATTTATAGTCATCAAAAATAGCAAATAAAAAAACCCATTTGGAGCCTGGGGAAAAAAATAGGGTTGCTACTGAGAAGAAAGATCAGTACACAAGACTGAGGAGGATTCCAAAGATAATTTCATATATATGTGAAACCGTTTAGTATTATGGATTTTAAATCCTAAAAGCAATGTACATGGAAAAAAATTATGATAGAAAAATAGAAGGAAGGGAGAGAGGGACGGAGGAGAAAGGAATGTTGGAAATAATGTTTTGAGACCAAACTCCCTGAGATTAAACTGGAACATGACTCTACTGTGTAAATTTAGGCAAATTACTTGAGTTCTCTGAGTTTTAGTTTTCTTTGCCTGAAAAAAAAATGTAATAATTTATTTTCCAATTGTTGGAATGAGTAGAAGACATAATTTATGGAGAGTGAAGAACAAAAATGAAAGCTTAGCAGATAGTAGGGACTTAATATTATTTCTTCCTTCTCCAACATTGAGCCCTACTAGGATGGATTCCTCTGGGTATTTCTTCTATCAGAGGGAGGAGGAGAATGAACACTAAGCCCAGCCCAAGAACTTATTAACCTGATTCACAGAGACATCCAGGTTACTGGACTTTATTATTTTTTTATTTTTTATTTCAGACTATTAAGGTGATGCAAATGTTTTGGTTACATTAATTGTTTTTGTGTGGTTCGAGTCAAAGTTGTAAGTGTGCCCATCACACGGACAGGGTCTACCCCTCCCCTCCTGCTTCCATTCCATTGAGTTTAACGTACACATGGGTGTTGATTGATTAGTTCCAATTTAATCCTGAGTACATGTGTTATTTGTTTTTCCATTGTTGAAAATCATCACTTACAGGAATGATCTCCAATTCCACCCAGGCTATTACAAAAGATAGTTCATCTTCTTTTCTCATGGCTGAGCAGTACTCAGTGGTATCCCTATACTTCACATTTACCTTATAACAATCAATTTAGGAAGATGCTGATCCAAGCTGTGTAAGTTTAGGGAGACTAGCAGTGAAGGACAAGGGATTTGTTCAGCTCTGCCTGTTCTGTGTATCCCCCCTTAGCAATCGTACTGTGCATCCCTTATGGACGAGACGCACCTGACCCAGGAACTGGGCTCTCATGGCAGCACGGACCTACACATGACGGCATCCTGAACCCTTTTAGCTGTGTTGGGAGGACAGTTGAGCTTCCAAGTTCTGATCTTTATTCTTTCAGCCTTATTAGCCCCACATATTGGTCTACTCCTCAGCTCCTTTTCAGTGGACTAAAATATTTTACCTTCACATGTAAGGTTTTGATAAATTATATCATATTATTCTATTTAGTGCTGAAGGAAAAGTTGTTTTCATCTGTCTTGCCTTCCTTCCTCAAAGATGTAGGAAACTTTTGTAATGGTCAGAAACTGGGATCAATAGCTCTAATCTTTTGTCTAATAGATGTCCTAGAACCCCTAAATACACCATTTTCATTTGGCTATGCTAATTAATTCAGAGATGGAGGTGTGGCCTCCGGGGCTGTTGAAATGTTCCTTGGATTTCTAGAATAGAAGACCCTATTACACTATACTTGACTATGGAATAATAAAGGCACTACACTTATGACAGTCATCTCATTACTAAGAAGAGCTTGCAATTAAGCCACAATGGAGAAAAAAAGAGACAACAAGTGGCAATAGACTGGTCTAAAAACTCAATGACCCTCTGTATCAAGGTATAATTGACCAGATCCTTTCCTGGACTTTTTAATTATGTAAGACAGTTAGTTATTTTTTCTTTAATATAACTTTAATAGGGATTAAAGTAACTATTACTTTACTATTATTAAAGTAACTATTACTATTACTAAAGTAACTGTAACTTTGAAATGTAAATGGGGTTCACGTCCTTCCTTTTAAAATATGACAATATGTTATTAGCCTGGTTGGAAGAGGGCCTTTTGGGGCTTAGGGATTCTTCCCAGTTGTACTGAATGAGGTCTAGTTAACACCTGAACTCTCACTTGGGCCCTAATTTAGCTTATGCCATCCCTTGTTTCTTCTCTGAGGCTGAATCTTGCTTTCCATAATCCCTAATTCCTGGAGAGTTGAAGGGAAGTTTGCTGCATATAGACAGATATATTTTGTTTTCCAAATCAGCAGTCAGTGGGAGCTGTTAATGATATGCTGTGGTTGACATATTGAACTTTCAGGTACCTCTAACTGTCTGAAGCTTTCCTGAATTTGCATCATCCTGAGACCATTGTTTCTTGGATAATTTGATTGTCATTCCCCAAGTAATAGACAGGAATTTGGAGGCCTCTCAGCTTGGGTGGGTAAAAGGACTCATGGTGTGAATGCAGGAACAAGCTGATGCTCAGCTAAAAAGGATAGGAACTGAGAAAAAGCTGTGCAACCAGGTGAAATAGCACCATGAAACTTGACTAAAAAGCACATGGTCTAAATAATTGTGGAAACAGTTGACCACAGAAGGAAGAAGCAGGAAGCAAAAACTGTTCAAAGCCAATGGAACACTGATAGGGACACAGTAGCCCAGGCAAATGTCAAGAATATCAAGGAGGACCCCAAGACTTACCCTGCAGGGTTCTGTATCAGCTCACTCCCTGTTTCAACTTCAAGTGGTTTAGCTGTATTGTCAGTGTCGTCTAGTATCAATTCTGTATCAGCCAGAACAGGCTACATTGATGGCTATTCCCACTTGGCCCTCTAGATCTAGACTTTATACTGGTCTTCACTACTGTGTGACTTTGGGTGGGAGTGAGGACGCTTTAGGTCATTATCTGCATCACTGGATTGAGATTATAAGGTAAAAGAAAAGTGGCATCAGGATTACTCCCCTTCAGGTTAATCAGTTGGCTGGACTCCTCTTCTGAAGGCCACTGCTCTTGCTGGGCCTGCTCTACACAACTTACTCTCCAGGGTCTGGTAATTAACTCTCACCTTCTTACCTGTTCAGGTCTGGTGTCATGACTTCCCAGTGTTATAACCTCAGGCTCCTGTATTCCTACTGATCAGGTTCCCTAACCTCTGATGACCAAAATTTTCTAAGTGCTCCCTTCTTTTAAATCTCAGAACCAACTGGCTTGAATGGCTTCCTTTTAGGACTCCAACTGATTTGGTTATGATTTAATAGTGCACAGTCTCCAAATCTTTGTGGTGTCCCATGACAAAGCTTATTTCTTTTCTAGGCCACCTATCCCACAGGTGTGTGCAGAAAGCTTTGTCCACCCCTGTTGCTCAGAATCTCAGGCTTCCGCTTAGCTCCTACTTCAATGAGAGGCTGAGCAGCAGGAAGATTGTGGCTACTGACGTACAGACCCTTCTATTTGTGCCTACATCATGTGGCATGTGCTACTTTTGCTTAGAGTTCAAACATCAAAGGGGCAAAAATATCACCCAAAAAAGCAGCCAAAAGGGGGACAGTGAAAGAGTTTAACGATAACAAATTGTTCAAATGTGTTTTTTTGAAGCATACATTTGTGATGAAAGGAAAATAAACATTATAACTTGTGTTAACTTCATATATGTAAACAGATAACAGAACATACACAGAATAAGATGCTGTTTATACTCAAGCAAATAGATCTGTTAGTGTAATAACAACAACAATTTAGCCTAAAAGGACAAAATAAGTTTACAGACAAATACATAACTGAAAGATACATTGTCTTCAAGCCAGTTTGTGAGCCTTCCAGATCTAGTCAGCTGCCCCAGCTCTCACCCAGGAGATGGCCATTTGCCTTGCTCCTCTCTGGGGCTTAATACCACACTCGTCACCTTGCAGCTGCCTCCTCTTCTACCATATCAAACGGTCTTATCTCCTGGGTGACACAGGGGCTTCAGTGTGACTTGTCTTGCACCCTCACTGTATGAGGTAAAGCAGCTCTAGCTTTTTAACTTAACTCAATGTGACCCAATGGGATGTATCACAGCTCTAGGTTCCCCAGAAGCTACCTAAAGGGCCAGTTAGCAAAATGCAGACTAGTGAGGGAGGAAACACCACGTGAAATGATCCTGGACAAAAGAAAGGGTCTGGAAAGAGTGTGTGAATAGAATGCTTTCCCTCCTCTCCTGGCAATTCTGAGATGCTAGCATATAGATTCTCAGAAGTTATTTATAAGATTAAGCAGCCAGCTGTATTTCCTCTGAACCTGGGCCGGGTCAGTAACAAAACTTCAAACTTTACCTGCCCTCTTCACTGCCTCACTTCTTTTACCCTCACTCTTGATGTCCTGCTATTGAACTGCCTTTCTCAATGCAGTGTTTATACACAAATTCTGCGACCTTTGGAACCCAGACTCAGAAACTAGTATTAGGTATACACATAGAGAGATGGAAATTTGGGGGTAGATTTCCTACCTGTCAAAAGAAAGACCTAACTGTTTACAAGTGATAAGTAGGGTGATAAAAATCCTTGCAATACCATGCTAACACAATTATTAAAAATTTTAGCTTAATTAGTAGAATTTAGGTATATTTAACTTTTTGGCCATCATTTAATTTCACATTCTTTTTGGCTATAATATACTTTTGTCCTGTTACAGTTTAGTTTTCATTTTTCTACCACTTATATTTTCATATATGTCTATGAAAGTTCCTGCTCAAGAACTTTTTTTATGACAGACATGTACTCTATTAAAAGTCAGAAGAAATTTTGAAGTATTATGATATCTATGGATAAGACTCTATTTAATCATATTCCGAGAGAAAATGTCAATGGTTAATGCACATGCTCCAAAAAAATCTTCTACATTTTATTTTAA